TCTATCTGAAAACCAATTCGTAATGAGAGAAGGGTTCAACATATTATAAATTTAGCCAGAAGATCTTTTTTTTTTCTCTTTAAAACTGATAATTTTGATGATCCTTGATCTTCGGATGATATACAAGCATTGGTAGCTTCAATTAGGTCAGTTTACCGAGAAGTTACTGGAAATTGACAGCTTCTTGTTTCAAAATTTGTCGACTAATTGGATTTTATGACTAGTAAATGATGAAGATTTATCCCTTTTTTTTTTGAAGATTTCTTTGTGCTTTGATATACATTTCATAAATTCAAGGATTTTCTCCTCGTATTGAGCTTGTATCATAATGCTTTATGTTGCTATGCATTTTTAGCTCTGACATGGCAAAATAATGGCTTGAACATGAGGATAGAAACCGTCAAGTTGAAGTGGATAGATTTGGCTAGCAATCGGCACTTGGCAGCCTGAGTTTTAAAATGGAAGAATCAAGCTAACTTATGTATATTTATAGATTGATTGAACATACAAACGTCAAAACTCATATCAATTGTGAGCACAACTGTAATGGCAGGATGGAAGGCACTAACGCCAAGTATACAACAACAACACACCAGGAGTCCATTGTGCAAGAATTAGTAGAAACCTCGAGAGCAGACATGTATGATGCATGAACTGCAGATCTCCAGATGATGACCCTCCAAACTCCTGGTGCACATGCGAAGTTTGCCATCAAGGGGAGAGCTCTGATTTCTTTTCTTCCTCTATATTAACACAACTACTGTTTTTTGTTCTTGGAGAACGTGTAAAGTTAATCAAACTCAACTTATCCCCTCCAAGCTCATTTGAGAAGTTAAAATCATTAAGCTCCATCTTAGATGATCAATCAAAAAGGGTGAAACCTCTTTTAATATAGTGCAGACATGAAAATGGCAATTGAAGGATATTTTCAACTTGCAAAGATGAGGACAGAAGGGAGTTGAAAACCATATTCCTGCTGCAAGCTTTTCCAAAACCTCTAGAGACAACAAGGGAGGTATTACACACCCAAGGCACAGAAACTGTGTATGCCAACCCACCATGCAAGCTCCTATCCCCCAGCAATACATCTTTATAGGCTCTGCACACGCTAAAGACATACTTCCCCATTGGCAAAACGGAGAAGACAGGTGAAACAGATGTATCAACACTCAAGTCTGTATCTGAATGAAGGTTCAGGACTACTGTTCCATGCTCAGGATGCAGCTTGTTTGCTAGAGTTTTAAGAAATGGGGAATGTGGGTCCCATAGTTTGTGAGGAAAGATGTCGTCACTGTCATAGGCATCAATGAAAACAATGTCATACAGGGTGGTTGTCTCAGAAATGAATTTCTCAGCATCTGACTCGTATAATAGGAGTCTCTCATGAATCCCTTTCCATAATACTTCATTAACGGGATCAGGCTCTGGGCAAGCACGTTCCCCAGACATCATCATTACTGCAAATGGTGGGAACCCCATTGCTTGAGTTGAGGCTGAAATAACAAGGGGATCAATTTCAACTATGTGAACTACGGCACCTGAAGAAAGCATGAAATGCAATGTCAGTTTCCTAAAATACAAAGTAACAGATGGCAAGAGAAAAAGACCAATCCATTTATAGCAATCTTTGCAGTTCAGCAAGATCAAGATTGCAACCTTTTCCTAACATAACCATAATAAGGCATCCAGAACACAGAGAGAGTGAGAGATGCAGACTTGCACACCAGCAGAAAGCAAATTTACAAATGGACCATCAATAATTTACATCAGCATGAATGCAAGTAGAAAAACTTGTTACATGAGTTTGGAGGATACTGGACATCTGAGACCTCAAGGCAAACATTTTCTTGTCTAACCTTCAATTTTACTGGCCATAAAGAGAGGTATGCTTCCCCCACCATGACCAATGCATAATACATTCATGATTTTCTTCCCACAAATAGCACTATTGAGATCAAAGTTGCAAGATGAGATGGTAACTAACCCAGCGGATATCATGCTCTTCACATCTGCAAGAAACTTCTGGTATAAGCATCAAGCTAAAGCATACAAACATTTTAAATTAGTGAATTTTCATAAACAGTTATCAATCAACATGACAGGTAACGAAGACATCATATCCCAGTTAGTTAAATATAAACAAGTTTGAAGCAGTGAACTACAAACATGGTATTTAGCTTGAGAGAAATTATGGTGACATACATCCAGAAAAGAAAAAGAAAAAGCAAGTATTACATGGAACAGCCAGACAATGTGGCTGCTGCATATAGAAAACAGAAGCAGGATCGGACTTCTCATAAGCAGCCATGATTTTAACCGTGCTTTGTCGAGTATCATCATTAAAGTGAAGAGTTCGCCATTGATAACCAATAACCTTGAATCCATTGTTTTCACAGAAAGGATGTATCTCAGCAAATCTTTGCTGAAGCCAACTCTCTGTTTTGTGCCAGTATATGTTGTCCTGCATCCAATTTTGAAGCCCTTTGATATTCCTAGCCAAGTAAGATATAAAAAACTTCTTTCTTCTAGACACTATATACAAACCATGCAATTGATGTGCAAAACTCGTCCAAATTATCAAAGAGAAACTAAAGTTGGGAGCAAGAGGGTATATTTTATTTTCTTCTACCATCTAGAAGCTATGCACCGAGAACGCTTAATCAATGCAGTTCAGACAAATAAGAAAAGTTTCCAACTTTGTCCCTTCCTCTATCCGTGAAAGAGGCATAAGTAGATGCAGCAACTCATTGTCATTTGAAGGCATATATAAGAAGAAAATTTTCATTTGGTTGGTGATAGAGGACCGAATTCTGTCCAACAGCTTTTGTTTCCATAGTTTGATCAGTGACTTTCACTGGTCAGAGAATTAAAAACAATTCAAATTTTCCTTCACCATTTACGCTTTATCCTCCTAGTTTCTTCTAACAGCTCGGTTCCTCATAATTGATAAGCATTAACTCCAAAAATTGCTTCTATTTACAGATATTAGGAATGCAAAAGTTGTGATAATAAAAACATTGGTAATCTGAAATTACCAATACATACGCAATCATTCATCTACGAGAGCCAAGATAGTCTACTTTTATACCAAACTCATTCGAAAATACTCTTCTTCAACAACAAACCCATATATTTCATCACGACAATATTTAAAAAAAAAAAAAACTTCAGACAATTTTGATACAAATGCAAGTATAGGGAAAGAAGGTAGAGGGGTAACTGAACTGGTTTGGAAGAAGGGTAAGCTAGGACGGAGACAACACCGTTGCCTTTGTCGGAAACTGCTCGGAAAACCGTTTGACCATCTGAACCGGAGTCGGTTCCCCACCACTCAGAGGAGTAAAACCAGTCGCCTTCATCTCCAATATAGCGACGAATTGCAGTAGAAAAACGGCGGAGATTGGATGACAAGCTTGATTTTACTTTATTAATCATTGACGAATAAAGAATCGAAGACATCCTAATTGCAAGTTTAAGTAATTTAAGGAAAGATTAAAACCCTAGCTAAAACCCTAAAGAGTTTGGGGATTTTGTGCTTTCGAAATCTTTAACAGTAACGGCTTTTTAAGGTTTAAAGCGGTGAATAGCATAATTGTTTTTTCCTTTTTTTTCCCATTTTTTTCTTACTACGATCTAAATCAAGGAAATTCAAAATTGTCATTATATATATATATATATATATTTCGTATATTAGTACAATTTCAAGCTTCATTTTGCGACAACAACTTTTATTAAAGTATTACAGTTTTTTTTTTAAAAAAAAAAAGTTAGGTCAATTTGGTTTATATCAACATATGCTTAACCTAATACGAAATTAGCAATAACTAAACCAATTTGGCTTTTTGTATTAACAAGTGCATAACTTTTGGTTGTATTTTACTTCTTGTGATCAACTTTGTACACAGTTTAAGGATTTTGATTTTTGACCAACCAACAAATAAATCTTTTCATGATTACCCCTTAATTTAGCTTCACATTTTGTTTGTTGCTTCTGAATTTTGAATTTTATAATGATTTATTAGAGTATTTAATATTGAAACATAACTTTAATGCCCTTTTTGAAAATTGAAAAAGGGTAAAATTGGAAGGTTAGCCTTTTTTATTTAATGACAAGTAATTTGAGACTGGCTAGAATAGATATCAAGATTAATAAAATAGGATGGAGGGAGTACTACACAAACATAAGTCAAGCCAATTTGTTCATGATTCAATACATTATTAGTATTAATCAAGTAATTGCTGACATTAACACGTGGTTATTGGACACAAATAAGAAGAACAAAATTTCCCACTTCTTTAACAAGACTACATCATAATGTATATTTTATGGTACAATGAGTAGTAGAATTAGACTTTCTAATAATAAAAAATAAAACATCATGTTAATTAAACAAATGATTAATCTTTTATATACTGATAGTACATACATTAATAGAGTTAGATGCATCTTATATATGCAAAAAATTAGATTTTAAATTTTAAATCTCGATTAGTAGTCATGCATTCACAGTGTATACACTGCAACATATAGAAGATTAATTTTATAAGAAAAATTTTCAAAAAAATAATCATAAAAATTTTCATAAAATAAATGAATTTTTCAAAAAAGCACAATCAACCAAAAGGAAAAGAAGCTAGTTTTTTACATTTCTCTAAATTAGAGTAACAAAACAATAATAAAAAAACCCAAATGGCTAGCTTTTGTCTATTTTATGTCCTAAAAAATTTAGGAAAATAAAAAGAGATTAAAAAAAAAAAGAGTTTGTCTATTTTATTTGCTCCACGGGCCACATACGTTATTATATTTATAGCTGACCTTTGCGTAACATAAGAGTGTCGTAGAAGCACATTTTTGCAACGAGTCCCCATCCCACGCGGCCAACTCTTCAACTTCCACAGAAACACGTTGCCAAAAATACGCAAGAGTTGACCCGATCGTCAATGTCCATCCGTCCCCCCATTTCCAAAAGAAACGCAAATCTGATTCATTCAACTCGAATTCTCAATTTATCATCAAACTTTCCCTATGGCCCATGTGTCTTAATTACTTGTCCCATTCCCATTTCTAAACGAACAAACACTGTCTAGAAGAGCCTAACGTTTGACTTGTCCTTTTAGTATCTGATAGTACTAACGGTAACCCTCCAAGCCCCAAGAGATCATTCTATGCTGCTTGCTGACTTTTAAGCTTTTTTTTTTTTTCGTATCAGTTGTCGAAAAAAGGCATAAACTGAATAATCCTTCATTCGCAGCTTTTTTTTTCTTTTTCTTTTGTGGGTTTCAAGAATTTTGTGTGAATTCTTATGACCCAAAATTGAAAAAACTCTCCGGATAACTCCTGAAGCATCTGCAAGCAGAATAACAAGTGGGTATATTGAGCTTTTTATCTTTTAATTTTTGGGTTCTTTGTGGTGTTTTCTTTGTGTGGTGCTAAGGGTTGTCAATTGAATTCCCTTCTGTTGTTTTCTTCTCCAGTGTATCCGAAAGTGAAAGTGAGGGAACAAGAAGATTATGATGATCAATATGAGTTTGAGACCAGGTCTTTGCAGTCATTGAAGACTCCTGAATGTTTCTCTTTGAATGACTTCTCTTCTCCAGGTAAACCACTTGATTTGTTTACTTTCCTGTTCTCACTCCTGAAGAATTTGTTTTTGATGTTTTTGTGTTTGTATTGTTGCTGAATTTCTTTTGTTGTTCCCTTCTTTTACTTCGTCTCAGTTTGTTCCCTTCTTTTACTTCACAATTGAAAGAATAAGAACAGAAAGTTTCCTTTTTTTCCTTTTGTTTTCTGATTTGCTTCCTGAGCTCCTAGATCAAATTATATGTTGTTATTTTGCGAGATACATATTCGATGAAGTATTTGGCGCGATCGAGTGAACTTGCCTATGCTTCTGCTTGGAGCAGTATATTTATCATAGCACTGACAAACTTTGTGCACTCTTTGTTCATTAAAACCATGGTATTCTAGCACTGGAGAGAACGGCTTTCATTTAGTTAGAGAAGTTTTATCTGATGAAGGCCATCTACTTAAAGTAAACATATATATCAAAGAAATGAAGGAATAAATCGATTGAGAATTTTCTTTAGGACCTTGAATAGTTGAGTCTTTTACTTTTTGAGTAGCTTCTTATGCTAAGCCCTTGTATATTCTGTATTGTTGACTTTCTTTTTTTTTTTTTTTTCCTTTGGAATGTGAAGACAATTCCCCTACATCTGTTGTGAGAGTGCCTCGATTTGATAGCTCTACTTCAGGTATACCTATTGTCTCTGTGTGTGCAAAATCTCATTCTTAGCCCGCTAGTACCTGCAGGGCATATATTTTATAGTTATTGTATTGACTTAGTATCCTCACTGGTGATCAAAGGAGCAATTAGCAACAGGAAACAGAAACTCTTGGAAGAAAACAAAACAAATATCAGAGCTAGTCCAATTCCAAGACCACGTGCTGTCTTGTCCAGTCCAGGTACATCCTTTTTGAACTTCTCACAGAGCCAATGCTGGAAAGCTGGAGAAATATGTTTTATTTACATCCAACGTGGCCTGTTGAATCCGAAGAAGCTGTATAAAACCATATTATGCAGTGAATTATGTTTGAAAGGAGGGCCTCCGGAAAAATGCATATTACTGTCTGGAGAATAAACAATGTGTTTTCTGTGGCTTTGAGTAATCTCATCCACGAGTGAGTGAACTTTCTTTTCTGTGGCTTTGAGTGCTCTCATCCACGACCAAGTGAACTTTCATCTAATGTGAACATCACCCTTTTCTTGGGGATGATATTGACTAAGAGACAGTTACAACAGCGGGGATGTGACATATGGGGAACTCTCCTGTGGTTTGAATCATGGATAATTACTTCTATGTAAGCGATAGGACTAAAGGGGGATTCTTCATTGATTAACGCCACTAATTCTATGTCATTTTAGGCCACTTTCCGGAAATATTAATATGGTTTCTTTTCACTGAATATCCCCTCTTGAATCCCCATAAATCTGTATAAAACTAAATTATTCAGTGAATTTTGTTTGAAAGGAGGCCTCTGGAAAGGTACATATTACTCTGGAGAATGAGTGATATGTTTTCTTCGGCTTTGAATTCTCTTGTTCACACAATGATTGAACTTTCATCTAATTGAAAATCTCCCTTCTTTTGGGCATGACATTGAATTAAGGGACAGCTAGAGCAATTAATAGCTAGGGATGTGACATCTTGGGAACTCGCGCAGGGCAAAATCGTGGATGATTAGTTTTATACAAGTCACAGGACTGAAGGGGGAACTCTTCTTCTATAATTAATGCCACTAGATCTATGACTTTTAATGCCACTCTTCTTTATGGATGACTCCTTTTACATTGTGTTCCTTGTTCTGTTGTGAGCACAAAATAGTGTCTGACTGCTGTTGCTGTTGCAAAACAAATATTTGTTGGATTATCTCAATTTCATAACTGTATGTCGTTGAGTTAAATAACTGGCCTTAATTGTTCTTGTTGAAATCCTAACATGTCAACCTTGGCCTATTTTTGTAATCTTTCCTAAAATGAAAAGAGGGGAAAAGGGGGATTTCGAAATGCTCATATTAATGTTCTTTGCACCTTTAGGTATGACTGTGATTGGATTAACAGATCTTTTCTAATATCAACATTTAAATGTGAAGGTGTTTGGAAGATCTGTTCCTACCAAAGCTTAAGCAAAAGTGAATGAGTTAGAGACGTCATAAACTGGTCAGAGATGAAAAACAGTCATTTTCTAGAAGAATATGCTTGCATCTTCTAATCTTTTAGTGTTTATTGTATATCCTTTTAATCGATAGGTTAAAACTTAGTAGATGAATATGTCCATTTGGCTTCCTTTGCATCAGGTTGTTCTTGTTCTCATATAGCTGCAGTCTGTGATAACTATTAACTGGTCAAGAATAACTGTTTTGATCAAAGGGATCATGACTCAAACCAACTGTAAGGGAAGGCATCTAATAGTTGCAGAAACTTTGGAAGACAATCAAGGACATTGATTCAAATATTTCATGCTTTTCTCCACCCCTATGTCTTAAAAAAATGGGGACAACTTTCTATCTGAGTTGTCCCAAAATGAATGCTTGATTTTCTACAACAATAATTCATTATCTCTATTTTTCGAGAAGCACATTCTACTTATAAATTTTTACAGAACATGTAAATCTTTTAAAAGTCGTAGGTAAATACAACGAGCTTTATGTTATCCAACACAACTCAGACATATGAGATCACAAGTCCTCAAGCTTGACCTCCCAAGAGGAACCTTTTGCTTTCACTTCCAGGAGCAGATGCTTCTACACTTTTACCGCTTAGCTGCCAAGATGCTGTCCAATTATCTTTTGCAATGTTGATTCTGTTTTATTTTGTTATTTTGGGTTCAGATAATGATCAAATGATTGGAAGCAAAAACAAGCCAAAAGGTGATATACTTGCCAGTATGAAAAGGCAAAGTCTGTTTGAGAATAGACACGCCCGGTGTAAGGTTACTCCGAGGCCTGTTGCTGCTGATGGCTCTATAAGCACAAGAACATCGCTTAAGGAAGTACCTGACGGTAAAGGTGATCTTCGAACTAGACAAAGAACAGTTATCACTGATTCAAATCTGAGACTGAACCTCCAGAAGGGAAAACCAAAATCAGTTAAGGATAGAGTGACTGAGTAGTTGACTAACGAACAAGTAATTACTTCTTCCAGTCACTTACCTTTAGACCATAGTGTTTCATTTGCTCAAATGCCAGATGTATTATCTTCCTACGTTGAAGTGCATGCAGAGTTAATATCTTAAGTTGAGCCTGTAATCCCTAAATGTTAACGCTTGTTATCAACTTTGTCCTCATTAGACACTATGATACAGGATAGGATGCAGTCATCATTGGCTTTTTGCAGTTCTAAGGAAAGGCAAGGGACTTGTTATAGAGCACCTGGTGGTAGTCTGTTTGTCTCTCCCTCTTAAACAGAGCAAAAGTGAGGATGATTTCCATGCTGCATGGATTTACAATGCAAGACATCCGAGCAGTTGGCTCTCAAGTGTGTATGGTTTCTGATCAAACTAATACATGCTAGGCTAGTGGAAGCAATGTAGAAACCTTTTGTATTCTTTTTAAGGCTATTCATGTGATATATCGGCCTTTAAGTTTTATCTAGGAAAATAAATTTACATCTTGAATAGAATTTTATGAATGGGTTCAAATATTAGTGAAGAACAAGGAAGAAACTTTTAGCAGTGCAAAAATAATTTAGAAACTAAACCTGAATTGGAAAACAAGATTTATGTAAGAAATTATTTTACACGGGAAAAGCAGGCGCCAATTGTAAAGAAACAAATGAAAAACAGAAAAGAATTACAAAAAAAAATGATAGAAAAAATCAAATTGAAAGTAGGAAACTCATGTTTTTTTAAATAACAATGTAGACAAAGAGAAGCTAAAGATCTCAAGATGCTGCGAAACTGCTTGCACTTAAATGTGCATTGAAATCATACAGGTATCGTGTAGACTGTTGGCCATAAAATGGTACCTACTTCTTTTTGATGATAGTTTCTAACATTTTTGTCATTTAATTTCAGGCATGGCGGGCGGGTATGGGCCGGGGGATCTCTCCCCCGTCCTGCTGCCAAAAACCTCCCCCCGCCCCTGCCTCGTCCCCCACCTCCGATCACCCCATCCCCGCCCCGCCTCGCTCCACTTTTCCTGCGGGTAATAATTTGATTTTTTTTTTGGAAACTTTTATTTAATAGATCAAAGCTAAATTTAAAGAATAAAATAAAATGCGGAGTAGAAAAAAGTGAAAAAAGAAAAAATGAAACAAGAAAAGTGTTGAAATAAGAACCAAGAAAATTAAGAAACTTAATTGGATTGTATAGATAATATTTTGAAATATTCATAGAACGCGTGACATGTTTGTACCAAATATCAATTAGGAATTTGGATAGAAATCGGATAAAAGTTATGTTTAGTTGCCAAATATTCTAAATTTATTATTATTAGATTATATAATATATTACATTTATTTATATTAATAAATTGAACCGGTGGTCGGGGTGGGGGTGTTGTTCCCTGCCCCAGTCTCATTTAAAAAAGGGGGAGAAAAATTCCCCCCCCCCCCCCGCCCTGTCCCATTACTCCCCTAGCGGGTAACTGTCCCGTTGCCACTCCTATTTATTTGCATGAATTTGTTCTCGTTTAGTATTTTGACAACATTTTTGAATACACATGATGTCCTAATAAAATCTTAATGAGATAGCAAGTTTCAATTTGTTTTTGAAGCAAAATATATTATTCTAATCCTTTTGGACCTTCACTACAAAAGCTACTTGGATCAATCATGCTCAACTTGGCTGCCTGGCACAAAAACAATGTAGCAAAAATAGAAATCAAAACTATCAACAATAGCACGAAATTTCAAGCTCTTTTTTTTTTTTTTTTGGCTGAAGAACGGAAGAAGGAAGAAATGCATCTGCCGGTTTCTACTGGTTTTCTAATTCGCTGTTTCACTACAAAGGTATACTCTCAAGTCCCAGTACCTCAGCGCTAAATTCCCCAATGCCCTGTTAGGCGTTAGTTTGGCTACCATAGAGACCTCAAGTGTTTTTGTGGGACGAGAGATTAAAGATTCGAACCTTACCTCCGATTTAATATGTGGCTTTCTTCTAACATCTAACAGGTGTGCTAAACATTCGTCCAATCCGACAACGATTCAGTCATGTACTCATGTCAATCCTAAATTTCCGCCGTGTAATGTTCACTGCTAAATTCCACAAAATTTCTAACAAATTTCACGGATTCACACCTCTCAATTGCATAGCATTTCCCGATAGGCTGTCAACAATTGCAACTTTTCCCAGTAGTCTGTCAAGAAGAAAAGTCGAGGAAATGATGAAATTAACTTTCGATAAACAGTGAGCTTAACTCAGTGGCCACCACCAAAATTGGTGGGTGGGAGGCCAGGGATCAAATATTATCTTTCACAATTTGGTCACAAAATGTGGCAAGCCATTTTAAATGGCTTCCAGACGAGTGCGTAGTACATTCGTTTGGGTCAGTAGGTAATTTAGTCCCTTTTGATTTCTCATTAATCTGTTCAGATTCCTTCTCATAATATAGAATAAATGTAGATCTATCGTATCGAAAAAAGAACAAATGAAACTAACTTTTGACTCTTGGCGAAAGGTTGCATCCCTTGTACCATTGGACAGAAATTTCATGAAGATCTAAAAGTAAATTCTTTGTAGGCATTCTCACAAAGGGACTGTTGTAAGTCTTAACTTGGTGAGTTTTAGTTTTAAATTTGAGGTTGGTCATATCTTTCAACGTAAACCAGTAAGTATACCTTAAAGTAGATAATTAGTTGATAAATTTTGTTATTAAAATTATTTGTGTGAAATAAACGAGTCTGCCCTTTGTTTGGATAGTGGAGCTCAATTGACTAAACCAATTGGTGAAAATACTAGAGAGCAAGTGAAATAGATGGAAGAACGTGGCATTATTTTATAGTTTGGTAACCAGATGCAAAATTTCAATTACCGAATTTTTTTTTAGAAAATAACCATTAATAGACTTTACAGGAAAAAAAAAAAAGAACGGATAAGAGAGGTGGGAATGAGTGGTCCGGAAAATTCCATGATAGACAGGACAAGAGATGACCTGTAAATCAGAACCGGATGCAAAGCAGAAGCTACTTTACCTTTGGAAAATTCCATGACAGACAAGAGATGCCCTTTAGATCAAACGTCATACGCGGCTATGTAGATTCTTACACACTATAAGGCATGGGAAAATCTTCTGAGTCAGTATGGCAATAATGTCTTCGACCTTTTTTTCAAGTGTAGGAGTTGATAAATTAGTGCAGATGCAAGGCAGAAACGCTTCTTGGTAGAACCTATAACCTTTATTTCCTTGGCTCTTCAGTTCCATATACCACACCTGAATCAATCAATCAATCATCATAACCCAAATGACAGAAGCAATCTTATTATCTTCTGTGAAAAGTATAGGCAAATTGCTGATTGATGAAGGGAATTTTTTGCGCGGGGTGACTGATCAAGTTAAGCTGCTACATGAGGATTTGAAACGGATGCAGTGGTTCTTGAAACATGTAGCAGCAAAGCAGAGTGACAGGGAATGTGTCCAACTGTGGATTTCGGAATTCAGAGCGATTGCTTGCGAAGCAAATGATTTGGTTGAAGATTATGCTTTGAGGGTTTCAATTCAAAGAAAGCAAGGTTTTTGGCACACCCTTAAGAGGCATGTTGGCGTCTTCAAGCAAGGTTATGCCAAACACAAGTTAAGCTCAGAGATCCAGAGTCTGAGAACGAGGATATCTAATCTCACTAAGAATTTTAGCGAATATGGCGTGAGAGCCGTAATAGAAGAAGAAGGCTCAAGTTCTATGGTCATGGAACAACAGTTAAGGAGGACGTTTTCGTTT